TTTCATTTAAAAAGTATCCTTTTCTGTATTATTGATGTCTCATAAGGAAATGTGTTTATCCTAACAAACAACTTCACCTAAAATGATCTCCCTATTTTCCAGCAGTGATGATCACCAAAAGTCTGGTTTCAACTTTATTCAGGAAGATTGCATGTTCCATTCCTATTTAGATTTTAGCGTGTTTTGATATGAAGAAGAATCAATTTCCTAATGAATCCTCACGTGAACACTAGCTTGAGTACCTTTCAATCTTTAAAGAGGCTAAGTGTTTAGAAATAAGGTTTAAGAATATCTGAATTATTTTATAATTTAAGAACATGACAGCTTAATCACTTTTTTAGGTGAAATTCCAGGCAATGTCTCAGGTACAATAAGTTTTTGTATAGGTTGCCTGGTCAGCCATTCCTCCTCTTCAGCAAGCTCTCTGTCAATTTCAATCCTATTGGCAGCAAATGCATTCTGCAACGTTAATAAAGTATTTATTATATCTTCATTAATTATGAAGCTGAATATTGATTAATTTTATTTAAAAACTGGAAACAGATGCATAAATTATGAAGTAACTTATGTATGCTATAAAAAAGCAAATATTGTTATGGTGATGATTACCTTGACTTCATCAGCTCGTTTGTCTTTCCTTAAAAAACACAAACGTGTATACTCGGCTTTCACCCTCTTCTTCCAATCAACAACGCCAAGGGGGAAGGACTCTGTCAAACTATTATTGCTAGGTGATGAGGGAGCAGTGGCAGCTGAAGCCTGCAAAAGCCTCTGTGCTCCACTACGAGTGTGGCAGGCACCTTCTGGGGTAGTCATTTTTTAGCCTAATCTATGGTTAATAAAAATATAAAATTACACATAAGGATAACTGTTATATAGAGCTTGTTTACATATTTTTTCTCGTGCGTGCCCTCTGATTGACCCCGCATGAGACGCTGTGTTCACAGAGGGGTGTGGCTTAGTCGTTTGATCTGTCGTGTTTATGCCACCAGCCACTAAAAATAATTAATCTGTTCCAAATAGTATTTTGTAGAGTGATTGTGATTGTTCTAGAAACGTCATAAGTCTTTCTGGAAGGCAGGGCTTACGTAACCTATATAAGGGATTGACAGGCACGGACGCAGGGACGGAGATTTCAGATAGATATTATTAACTTTACGAGGCGTGTATTATTCCTTGTGTATTTGTGTGCTCATACTCATATGTGTTTATTTCGCACTTCATCATTATTCATTGGCACATTATTCTAACTGTATTAGCTGTGTACCGGTACAAGATCTACCATACTGTAAGTTGAAGATTGTCATTATATTTTATTTTATTTTGTAATTATATTAAGACTTAATAAATCTTATTAATTGTAACTAGAAACTGCTTTGGGTGTCGTATCTTTAATATTGTTGATTCGATGGTATCGTCCTTTGTTAGGCACTGTTTACAACGAGCCAATTAAAATAGGAGATTAATTTCTCCCAATACAAGTCAGTGCGTAACAAGAAGATATTCATTTGTTATTAAAAAAGACAAATATGGTAAATAAAATAAATTAAGGCTTAAAAATAAAATTTACTCCAATTATATTTAATATATATAGACCATAAAACCCCATAAGTCATAAATTGATTCCACTACTGATATGTGGGCTTTTAGCTTTCTAAACATTAGGGAAAAGGAAATCGGCTACAGGTCCACAAATATTCTTTTTTCAAATTAGGATAAAGAATAATATTACTTCAGGGGGGCTTTTTAAATTTGATGTGCATAACTAAATAGTAAATCGTGTATTGAACGCAACTTCAACTGTTTTAAGAACAGTGGCTCCTAAGAGCCCCGCATACACTTACCCGGGGCTCCATAAAAACATAAATAAATCAAATGCCTTTTGAGCTTATCATAGAGTTGAATGATGCCATAAAAATAAACCAAATAAAATGTCATGCTTTAAACAGCAGGCTCTTCAAACTGATGTATGAAGATATGGGAAGTCTTCATCCGTCACTCCTACAGCACACTAGTGGTTGTCTCAAGGACAAGCGTTGCGGGCCTAGTCATTGAAACTTGTCATTAAAATACCAATATATTAACCCCCTCCTTAGCAACATTGATGTATCCATCTTGCAAATCGGGGACTTATTAGTTCTCATTAAGATGTGTGACTTCAGAGGGAGCACGCTGGTAAATTTGTACAGATTGGGGAACTAAAGAATTTTTATATCTTTCAGTCCTCACCCTGATGGAAAGATATCGTCTCGAATGGCCCAATCCCAAGTATCTGTGATGAAGAGGGTGGGATGTATCATCCAAAATGTGTTTAGTTTTACAAAAACATCTTTCTTCAAATAATTCTTTAAGTGAAGGATGTTTAGTTTGTGTTATGTTTCTAGCTTTCTTGATTAGTCGGTTTGTATCAGATGTTGAATTCCCACAACAGCAGGTAATACTGAAATTAAGTAGGCTTCCAATTGTTGCACTGTAGAATAAGTTAACGACTTGCTTGTACAGTTTTTTGAGGTAGAACAGTCTTTGGTTGAATTTCTTATACATTATACAGCATTTGGCCGTGCTCATGCCATGTTAGCTTATTATTAATGGTGACATACTTAGGGGTCATCCATAAATGACGTCACGCAAATTTTGCCGTTTTTTTACCCCACCCCTCCCCCAATCGTCACAAAAAGTTAGACCCCCCCCCCTAAATATAACATCACAAATCTCTGCACCCCTTTTAAAAATACCCTGCGTCCACTACTGTCCTTTAAAAACCCTAAAGAAATTCACCTGCCATGTAACTTGATCGCGCATACCTGTACTCAGGGCCGGCGCTAGGAGAGTGCGGGGCCTTGGGAAAATTGAATTTCACGGATCAATTGACGTTATATATTCTGCCAATAGGATATTAAGACACGTTATAGTCGTACTGTGGCCTTGCTGGTCATAATGGGTAATAGGACGCGTCATAACGGTAGCCAGACTGACCTTCACACGATTTGAATATCTAATAACTCCGAATATTGTGTTGACTGGATTAGGAACTATTAGTAGGCTTAGGTATATTATAAAAATACTAAAACAACGTGCGGTCGCCCACTTCGCCATCCCATATCACCGGCCCTGCATGTACTGTTTCTCTCAGTGATAGTACTTTAATAATAAAATAATTATAATTGTATAAACGAATAATGTTAAAAATGTCTGTAATTATTGTTATTAAGTGCAATTTTTTACAACAATATTCCGCTTTTCATGTGACGTCACGTTGCTTGAGTCCCCCCTCCCCCTCGTCACAAAAATCTGACCCCCTTCCCCCCTACCCCGTGACGCCATTTATGGATGGCCCCTTATATGCCTCCACTTTCTCTACTACTACTTATGAATGTAATTGTAAGAATGATATTATGTAATTTATTGTAATTTATTTAAATTTAATGTAATTAAAAACACACAAAGTGTGACAAAGTCAAAGTATGAAAGTGTAACCTAATTAGTATTACTATAATGACTATAATCTATATCTAAGTAGTGTTAAGTGTACCTAGTTAAGTGAAAGACTAAGAGTGGTAATCTTGCAGTTCAGGTGTGTATACTATTTCTGATCGAATTTCGTACTATCGCATGAAAACTTACGTGCATTCTTCATTAAATTAAATCCAGGCAGTGATAGTTAACTAATACTGAAGTATACATCGCTTATTTTTGTTTCATTTTATTTCTAAAGCGTCTTTGATCATCCCCCAACCTTCCATAGCGCCATTTGTTTATTTTTTGTTTAACCCTGTTGCCAGATTTTTGATCACCTATAAGTTTAAGTTGGTATGCTAAACGAAACTTTCAAATTGTAGCCATGTTCACAAAAAGAATGAAATACGGGGTGAGGAGGAGTGTTGAACTTAATTAGTTGTTCCGTTATTTTATAGGGGCCCAAAATTTTTTTTTCTTATACTTATATGGGGTGTATAAATATAATTCCAATCAAAAGCTCCTGCATGGACATGGGTGAATGGAACGAGATCAAACATAGTACACTCATAATAACATACACTTATTATCCCTATTCAAAAACGGGTACTGAAGTTTAATAATGAAGTCAAAATTTTAACTTTCCCTAAAACTAGCCAATATACACGTCAATTTTATATAAATTTATTTTGTGAACATGCTTTTAGTTTGAAGATTTAAGCATCAATAAATAATTTTGGTACAATTTAATATAAATCTAATTTCTGTTTCCTTTTTTGTGAATATGCTTTCATCAACTGAAAAATTGCAATCTGGCATGTAGGGTGAATTTGAAAAAACCGAGAAAATGGAGTGATTGTTTTTGGTATTGACTATGTACTAATGGGGGCTGTAAAAATCAATAAAAATAAAAGTTATTGCTGTACAATTTAGTTTTAGGGCTAACTAATACTGTCTAGAATACATTTTATAAAGAATACACCTATAATTACAATGCAATAAGTATAAGTATAACCGAAATTCGTTAAGAAATAATAATAATATACATCACGCACCTGAAGTTCAGGCTGAACTGCAAGATTACCCTAAGAGTAGTATAGTATAACTTGTAAAAATATAGTAAGTGTAGTCTAGTGGTAAGGCGTAAGGAAGTTGTGAAGTTAAGAAGTGAAGGCAAAAGCGTATTACTATTACTAATACTAACTTAGGACTTCCAGTTAGTTAGAAAAATCTACTCGGCCTACTTAGACTTGCTTAGGCCTACGCCTACGCCTACTTATCATTCTACTGACTGCGTTACGCTAAGGCAGGCCGCAGATGTAACCATTAATCTTATTAATACTTTAATTCGAATGTGTGTTTTCTTACTTAAGTACTTAATGTCCATCTGGTGCAGATAAATATGAGCATGATAATTCTTATATACTCACTTCTCTTAAAAGTATGATTATTATCAAGATCAACAGTAAATTATGTTATCCTTTGTGCGCGAAACATATTTGAACGTGACCTTTTGGATAGTAGTTACTAGCAGTTTACTTGTTAAGGTTAGATAACTTAAACTTAATTAATCTGTTTTTCATTGTTACGGTGATCTTAGATTATATTAATATGTTAAAAGTTTAACATACTTCGACATTTTGGAGGCCTCAAAATTTACATGTGCTTCTCTCTATCTCTGAAATACATTGAGTCCTAGTTGATTAATTTTGCTTATCCTCCTATGTCAGCAGGCTATGATTTATGATGAGTTTGAGTATGTGACTTATTCGGACAGTTCCAAATAACTGACGACTAGGCTCACTAGGCATAGGCCTAGTATATACCGCCTTGGCTATAGCCTATACTATAGTGCTTTGTTAGTCAACAATGTCTAAACTGTCATATTTCTTGTCTATATTTCAACTTTAAGCGTGTGGAATGTGGTTACTACTTAGTTTAAGCTAAGTTATCTCCTCTCGTTTCTGGACAGCTGTGTGTGAGTGTGGTTGATTCGAGGAAACACGCCAATGATGGAATCATTCTTATTTCTATATCTCTACTTGTTTTAAAAGAGTTCAAGTTTGATTTGTTTATACAGAAAATGTTGAATGTATTTATTTTGTCAATTACATCATACTATGGCCATGAATGATGAAACTAAACATTTTAAATAAAGATAGACAAGCGACATGTTGTAAGAGTAAAGACTAAAGAAGACTGAAGTCGTAAAATCTAACTACCGGGTACTCACTAATCAGAAAAATCTTGAAAGACTTTGAAATCCTAGATCTGTGGAGCCTGAAAAAATATGTCCAATTCAAGATCCCCAAAATTTACTGGAAAGCATACAAACTTCCAACCACCCACAGATTCGGAGCATGTTTCAACTTCTGACTCGTGCCAAAAAATACCACTCGAGGAATCACTGGGAGCAAATAACAATAAAACATATTTATATAAGGCTTTAAAAATTGGTGGCGTTGCTGTTGGAGCTGTGGGTGCCGTAGCATTAGCCCCTGTGATGATTGGCGCAGCTGGTTTTGGTGCTACAGGTATTACAGCAGGTAGCTTGGCTGCTGTAATGATGTCTACAGTGTCAACATCTGGGTAAGTCATTCTAAACTTTTGAATGCTGGTCGAGGGGAAAACTGAAAACCTAACCACGCATTTTTGACCAAAATGATTCAGCCAGCACTTTTCTTGACAATTGTACTGTTATTTTATTTTGTCAAAGGCCATTACAACATAAATAATTGTTGAATTTGAAAATTTAATGTAAAAATTAATCCAGTTCCCAGAAGGTCCTAGGGGCTGGATTAAATGTGTTCAGTGGGCTGCATGTGGTTCTTAAGCAATAGGTTGCCAAACATTGTTATAATGACTTGCAGTGTTTCTTTCAAGCATCTCTGGTTTTGGGGTGGGGGGGGGACTATATATTTCTACAAAAATAAAAACGAAAATATATTTTTTAAATACAAAATGACTAAAATGTTATTTTTATAACATTTTTAAAATGAATAGTTTTTTTGTGCTTTAACCAATTACAATTAGTGGAACCTATGAAATATCGTAACGCTCTATGTATTTGATGATCCCTATATTTAAAATCTTGTAGAAGCTCACACTGTTCGATTATAAATGTCGTACTGGCAGCTCTTAAATATAAGCCGAAGTCTTACTTAGTGTTTTTCACACGTATCATTATTTTTATTTATTTATTTTTTGCAACTTCACAAGTTGACTTAAATAACATGGTATTAAATTACATTTACATCAATCTCAAGGTCTATAATTTTAATGCAGTTCTTGCTTAGATTCAAACATGTTCAATATGTTTTTAAATTATATTTCCTCATAAAAGCATGAATTTAAAAGTAAGAATAGGTGTATATTATAAATTGTATTATGTACCCAGGCTTTAAAAATCTAGTTATCAGCATACTTTTAAATGTACTTGATTCCATGTATGCTGAGCTAGAGAGAAGGAAAACTTTTTTTTAAAATGTTATTTATTTTTTAAATTCAGAATTTAATAATGGCTGCAAGCAAATAATGTATGTCTCTTCAATCATTATTAAATCGAAAGCGTTTGTGTTTTCATTTATTTGAGCTACTTTTGTAACGAGTTTCCTGAATAACTGAGTTTAAACAATTTTTCAACTTAGCCTATAATTTTTAAGTTCCAATCGCTTTTGTCTTTTTAATATCAGAATAACAAACAAATTGCCTCACCTATTTGCACATATTTTATTTAAATTAATTTTTGTTCTAGATAATCATCTAGCAGAAAGCTAAAATATTAAAGATTTTTGTGAACTATCATTTGGATTATCAATTATCATGCCAATTCCTTTATTCTGGTTCTCCTGCATTTTGAATTTCCATGACTGTCTTCAGCACCTTCGATTTCTGTATACCCTTCCCTCATGCTGATAAGTGTTATAGTTTGGGGTTGAATTTAAGCTTGTGCCAAATGATTACCCTGGGGCACGCCACAACTGAAGTGAATTGAGATTATGTATGGCACTGGGCGTCATAAAGCCTCCCCCAGACCTTTAAAAATTTCCTTCCCCGATCAAAACGTATAATAAAAATATTGAATTCAAGTATACAGTATACTTCAAAATGCACCTCTTTATTTTTAAAAGATTAAAAAATTCTGGGGAGACCCCTCCTCCACTCAAGATTCATAGGCGTATTAGATTTCTACCTTACTTGCAGATGAAATTTATTGATAACTTTGGTACATTATTTTCAATCATCAAATACCATCAAAGCCCATTTTGGCTCCCCTGCTAGTCTAAGTGAGGCCTCTAGCCACAGGCACTGCCCCAGAAATCTGAAAACCCCCCCCCCCCAAATGTACATTATACAGTACCGGTAGTACTATTCTATATACAGGAGTAATACATAGAGAAATATCCGATAATAATACCAGCATATAAAACCCTTACTTGGCAAATAGACTTGTAATATGATATAGCCTTGACATGTGTTGCAATGTCTTTTATTAACTTTTATTTTAATGTTCTTCTCTTCCTCCACCCGCGCGCACAGATTTGGAATGGGTGTGGTTACAGCCCTTCAATCTGCTGGGACTGCTGGATTAGGCCTTGGAGCAAAAACTGTTATTGGCCTTGCTGGAGCTGCTGTGGGTAAAGCCTTTGCAGAGAAGGCTGCAGGGAAAGCTGCAGCAAATGCTGTGAAACAAGATAATAAAGTTGTTGAGTCTGGAGACCGGAGTGGAGGGCTAGGAAAAGAAGATGGCAAAACAAAAAACGATGAAGGAAAGCAAAAGGAACAAATCAACCGCCTTCCCCTGGAAAAAAATGTGATCAAAATTAAAGCAAAACTATAACAAAAAATTTGTCATGTGCTGTTATTATTTAAAAGAGTAGTAAAGAGCATCACCTTAAAATGTGTGAACTGGTGGAACCAATGAAAATTATTAAATAACTAAATCTTCATCTATGCCAGAAAGCTTTTTTAATGCTTGTATTCAGTATTTTGCTTATTCCGATACCGCGGTACTTGAATGTCTTATATATGATATTCGCTCTAGGTTCTGTCAATGCAGAGTCAGATTGGCTACCCAGGTCTTAGAAATAGTAATTCTGACTTCCTTATGTCACCTGGCCACACTACAACTACATTTATGATTATCAATACTTCTGACAGTAATCTTTATAATCATAGTCATAGTCCATTTCTATAACACAAAGCTATCAAACATACTATTATGCACAAGGCCCTCAACGTTAACAAATATAAAAAGAAAAACCCACACACAAAGCTACCCAACGTAAAATAACAAAAGATCTAAGATTAACATCCATAAAACTACACTTAAAGCTAAGGAAACGTAAATGAAAGAATTACCCACAAGTACACACAAAGCTACACAAAAATTAAAATGCAGTACACAATAGATCACAAGGACCAGGTCCATGTTTACAGCAGTGGAAGCCATGACCACAGTAATGCACTGAGGCCCCTAACCCTATATACATACACAGGGCCGTGCGAAGGACCGGGGCGAGAGGGCTAACAACCCCTGGCACCAAAATCATTGTAAGATAAGCCCTTAATAGTGAATTAAACAATAAAATCCCAAGTACTTCAAATAGAGAAAGGGACTACAAAATCGTCTTACTGGTGCGCCTGGGCACAGCTTTTCCTGGGAATGATTGTCTATTGCCTACTATTCAAGTAATGTTATTAAAAGTATTATGAATTATGGCCCAGGTTGGTCTATAGATTTGACCAGTTTCTTTCGGGTAATTTTTTCCACAGTTGAGTTGGGATCGTATTTTAGGTGGGAGTCGGGAGGTAAAAGCATGTATCAGTACCGAAATCAGGAATTTTGATGACACCTCCATTCATAACCATACATTCATTCTGGTAGTGCAGCACCCTGGGGGTTTACTTTAAGCCCAGCTTAGTTTCGTCCATAGAACCTTTGTAGTCCAAATACGTATACAAAACTAAGGGAAATTCATAATTTTGTCCTTTTACAAAAATCATTGTAATTACTTAATACATCCAGAGTTTTTAGGGGTGAATATGTGTTGGCACTGTCACTTTAATTGGGGAGGGAGAAGAGATTGAGGGTGCGGAACAAAACTGGGGTTAAGGTTTGGAGATAAGTCTCAGTAAGCCTCCATGCGTTCAGCATTTCTCTTATTGCGCTAGAAGATTGTTACTCTGCTACTTCCTCATCCATTAATGGGCTCTCCTCCATAATTTCTGGCTGTGAAACACGATGCAACTCCATAAGCTCTTCGGTGGTCAACTCTTCACTGTGCTCTTTCACAAGCTCTTCAATATCGTTGTTGTCCACCTCGAGTCCCATAATATTGGCCAATGACACAATCTCATTAACTGTAGACTCCACAGGTACTGTTTCAAAATCACATTCAACAAAACTCTCTGGCCAAAGTTTTTTCCAAGCAGAAGTGAGGGAAAAAGGGACTTTCCCTTTCTGCGTAACTCGTTATGTGACATGTCGCTCGTTAAGGGAGCAACTTCTTCACATTTTTTTTTTTTTTTGCTTGTTATGCGAATTACTTCCTTTGTTGGGCCATATATATTCCGGAGAACTTTTCTCGCCCATGTAAAAATCTGTAACTAAGATAAAACTAAACCAGATTCCAATTTAAAACCAGAACGATTAAACATGTGGTTTACAAAAAACAAAAGAACAAAAAAACTAAACATCTCTAGTACTAGTTGTGATATTTACAAAAGCGTGATTTTTTAATATTTTTTTTATCGATATACAGAACGGACAGTATTAATCAGGTAAAGGTATATTTAAGTCACGGGATGGCGCTGGTTGTTTCCCTTCCATTTCTTTTCTCTCCCTTAACCTGCCGAGACGCCCATCAGTATTATATCTTACATTGCGTCATACAGTACGTTCCAAGTTCTAATGCTAACGAGGTCCCCGTTTACCCCTCCCCACCACCCCCCAACAAAATAGATTCCTTGATAATAACACACAAAAAAAAATGTTACCAAAAATTCAAGGCTACAAAGATTACTGGTTTGAAAGTATGAAAAATCCATATTGTTGCCTTTTTATGTAGAATAAACCTTTTGACAAAAGAAGTGGCTATTCGAACCCGGGTACCAGAAGGGAGAGAAATAACATTTGTAAAAAATAAATGTGTGACGTCACACATGGCCTGACACCCCCCCCTTTCCCCCCTGTCACAAACTGTCACACTTTCTTACACCCCCTCTGGAGCGTGACGTACTTTATGGACGGCCCCTATTGCCACACATTTTTTTCTTGTTTCATGAGACATAAAGTGTACTTAAGATGCTCACCACCTTCCATTCTTATTAGACGAACATCATCGTCATAAATGGCACTAAAACGATTGAAGGCTCCGACCCGCAATATCAGATCCTTACATTAATGGGACCAAGCCATCATTATTTTTTTATTTTTTTTTGGGTCTCCGCGCACAGATCCCCATCTGATCCGACTTCACGTCATCAGTCCGTTTCGTTATTAAACTTCCGCTAGACTATACTAATAAAATAATGCCTAGGATCGTTGTATAGCTATAAAAAAAAATATCTCCGAAACCTTCATAATGTTCCAAGATGGGGTAAAAAATATCACATTAAGAGATTAGAGCATCTGAGAAATGTGACATTCTCATAGGCGTAGCTAAGCGGTGGGGGGGGGGACAAATGTCCCCGGGCGCCAAAAAAGAATGGGAGGCTCTTTAAAATGAATCGTGTCCCCGGGCGCCAAACACTCTAGATACGCCTCTGGAAATTCTAATTATGTTGTCAGTGTGTATAAAAGTAAAGTTATTTTAAATTGAAAACATATTATTATTATTTTTTTAATTTTGTTTAAAGGTTGATTTCAGATTTTAATATCGGAAAGGGAAATCAAGAAATTGTATTGTGCTTTGTTGTGCATGTTCTGTCTTGATATAGTTAGTGGTTAATGAACGCTCATCCCGCAATTTACTTGGTGATGTATATTTGTGATAACTACGACGTATTGTCTCGAATGTCTTTGTCGTAACTGCATGCTCGTCAGCAGTCGTAAAGAAAAAGCCTTGTGGTGGATGAATGTGCATTATTTTCTCCTTCCCAAAGTGAGATGCGCTATACAAGCGTTTCCTTAAATGTACAGACTGTTACATATATTTATAGATTACATTACTAATGGAAAAAGGCTTGTGTTCTTTTCGTTGTTATGACGACGTATGAATCTGTAAAGAATATAACGAAGGGAGTCAATCAATAAATGGACGTTTGACGCATTAGTCGTTCCAACTGGCATTCATATTTAATGACATTTAAAATCTTGATGAAGCATGCGGTCTTTCATAATACTATTTGTCAGAGTTATTAAATAATTACACAAGCATTACTATTTGTGTTAATGATTTTTGAATTTTTTTTTTTTTTGTTTTTTTTTTTTTTTTTTTTTTTTTTTTTTTTTTTTTTTTTTTTTTTTTTTTTTTTTTTTTTTGTCTTTTTGTAACATTACAGAAACATTTTGGCTCCGCCTTTGCACACATTGTAAATTCTTGTTGTGGCAAAATAAAACATCAATCCTACCGTAACAAATGTAAAAGCGTATCATTTAACATCCAGAATCAAAGTAAGTTTCTTTTATGATGAAGAAGTCAAATTGTGTCAAACACTTCTAACATACATACATAAATAGTGTTCGTCCTATGTACATTTGTTATGGCACATAATAAAGTCATAGAAATGTAATCTAAAGAATATTTAAAATTATTTTAAAGTTTCACTAAATTATTTTCTCAAATGTGAATGTACACCAAAAAAAATTTTTTTTGATTTTTTCTCAAGAAAAAAATTGGTAGATTTAGAATAATCGTTCTTTAATGTTATTTTATAGAGTTGGCAGCCATGTTGATGAACAACGCTCCACTTTTTGAAAATTCAAAGAAAATGATTAAATCTTCTTGCATTGGTAATTATTATAGTTCAGCGTTACGTATTATAATAAACCCCGAACGGACCTTTCTTGTCTGCACCGCTCTCACGGCGCACCGTGCTGCGCTCTCATTCGCTGCGACCCCCCCCCCCACCCCGTTGTGCTCTTCATCACGTGCGCAATAAATTTAAACAAAAGAGCACATCGAGTGTCAAAGAACAAGGTCTACCAAATATCCAGCTCCTCACGTTACGTATTATAATAAACCCCGAACGGACCTTTCTTGTCTGCCCCGCTCTCCCGGCGCCCCGTGCTGCGCTCTCATTCGCTGCGACCCCCCCCCCCCCACCCCGTTGTGCTCTTCATCACGTGCGCAATAAATTTAAACAAAAGAGCACATCGAGTGTCAAAGAACAAGGTCTACCAAATATCCAGCTCCTCTTAATACCAAGAAATGCGGGGAGAAAACACCTGAACTATTGAAATAATTAATATTATAATAAAAAAAAATTGTTTGTGCTCAAATAACAGATAGGGATACAGAGTCTAGACGTTATGAAATCGAAAAAGAAAAGGTAACATTGGACATGGTCAACGTGGGTAAAAGTAAAAGAACCCTCAAGTCCATGAATCATAGAATTATTATCAAATATTTTGCATCTCTTCCCGTATTTTACACACACAACGTGGTTGCGTTGTCCCAGCTAAAAAAATGTAGAAAAAGCTTACATAAATGGATTCACATGTCAATAAGCAAATAAATATATACATCAAACGTTTAAAACTCTTCTTTTAGTATGCTTCCAAATTGATTTCAGCAACTTGCGAAGATTTGCTCTATATCTCCGGGCTCATACAAAGTAGAGAAACAAATTGATAAAATGTGAACGTAATGACAGAACAAAAATCATATCGATTACGAAAATACCAACGGATTTAAAGAAGTATCGATGCGATGAAAGAAC